ATGGACAATGATCGTTCTCCCTAAATCTGGCCTTTTGAAGTCTACTGTGTCATTTTCTTCAAAGGCTGTACTTTTTGCAGACTTCACTGGCTGATTCATTGCTCTTGAACACAGCAGAGATACAACATGCATTTTTTGTATTTGGCCCACTAATTCATACATCATGCAAATAAGTCTTTAATGATGATTTATCAACTGTCCTTGGTGATTCTGGCTGTACAGGGAGGTGAAATGTAAATCATCTTATTCATGTACATTCTTTGACAAACTGAAATCACCATTCAAAGGTCTATTGCTCTCACCTTCTTTCATTTGAAGAGACCTTTAATTTTTTCAAAATACTTTCACATCCATGACCTCACTGGAGACTCAAGATCCTAACGATACCTTCAGAGGCAGGTTTTATTATCCCATTTTAGAGGCTCTTGCCTGAGGTTATCTCACACTTTACTGTGTTACTGTGATTGGCCACAGATCACAGCCCTGGCTCTCTATTACTTTTTTAGCAATGATTACCTGACTTTTATTTCTGTGTCCATTTTAGATGTTCCAGTAAAGAAAGGTGCTAAGATTGTCAAAAGAGACAGTAAGGAGTGAAGACATAAAACTAGAAAAATAAGACAAAGAAAGCAGAATAGACTAGCGATATGTTTATTTTTATAATTGTTCTTTGGAGATTATTAAATGAAGATATCTGGAAGTAGAAGTATCTGATGAAGGAGTAAAAATAGCATATGATTGACTTACAATGATGCCTTTTCATAAGTAAGTAGAGCAGAACAGAACAAGGAGAATGATCAGCAGGGGAGATAAGAGTTGGGAATGCAAATGTGCACAAAATGAGGAGTTAGGAAATATCTTACCTAAATAGTCTACGAATTTAGATACACAGCTATTCAACCCAATTGCAATAAGGTGAAATGGGGAATGGGATAGGATAGAAGCTTCCCAACTTCTGGGGGAAAATAGCTTTACAGCTGTGCCAGTGTAATAGAAGCCCTAAACCCCAAGAAGACACCCATGTCCTGTCTCTCGTGTAAATTCAAAATAAAGACACTGACCAACTAGAAAACAAAACTTATGTCTATGTGGAACTAAAATATCTTCTCCTTAGATATGCTAATTGCAAAGTAGTGGTTGTGTTAATCACAGATGAACCTCTCTTTCTGTCTTTCTCTTAGTAGCCTTGTTTTGCTGGTGCCCTAAGCATGTTGGGATAATTCAGTATTGGACAGAATTACCAAATCATCTCCATAAATTGTGAAAGTAATATGCAATATCTGGTCTGTACTTGCTAGTGTATAATTCGTTTTTTCCTGCCAAAATTGTATAAAAATATTACCCTGGCAACCCATCCTTACATAGTATAAATGGAAGGCTGAGTCAAAGATGTAAAATGATAGGATGGTTTAGCCACCTAAATAAGTGGGAAAGATAGTATATTCCATTTGGGGGAGCCCTCCCATCAATAGCCATAAATTCTGCATATGCAGTAAAATTATACAACACTGAAAACAACAAAAATATTTACATAAATTCCAATGTGATATTCATGGATACAGTGAAACTCATCATTTTAAATATACATTGAATGAAAAGTACTTAAATCTTTCCACTAAACAAGCATTTCAAATACGATACATCAAATGTAGGTCTGTTTCATGTATTGGCTAATAAAAGGTTTGCTCAGAGACAGAATAAATATTACCAGTTTTTCATCAAGGTTTAAAAATAAAATCTATCACCACTATGATCAAATACTAGAATATGATCTAACTCGGTTCCCTCCCATTGTTCAAGTCACTATTTCACAGTTTCTACAAGCATGTTCTGTGAACATCGAACTCACAAGCACTGGGGTGCTGGTTAAAATTGCAGTATCCAGAGCCCCCCTGTAGGCTCAGCATCAGATGAGGAAGGATCTCGGGGTGAGGCCAGGGTGCCTGAATTTCCAAATCCCTTGGCCATCTTTAAACACATTCCAGATTAGATGCACTGAATTAGTGTTTTACTGTCATTGTTCCTTTTCAGTTCTTTTTAAGGCCTTCCTTGGCCAGGGCATGATGTCACGTTCCAATGTGCATCCAGGAATAGAAGATTTAGTGACCAGGAATTTTCAGAAGCAAGAAAGGAGGGTAATTAGCTGAGTAAACAGGAAGCTAGAATCTGTTTTGGAGTTAAAATGAATGCACAGAGGCTGGGAAGAGAAAGGGAACTGAGCCAGTTATAACTAAGGCTCCTGCTCCTCCTCCCTGGAAGAGTAGTTGGAGAAGTGGTTGAGGGAAGAGATGGAAAGCAACCTTCAAGATCTCGTTTGACATAGAGGTGGAACTTTCAGTGTAGTTCCAGCTGCCCCATGGAGGAAGATTCTTCTTCCTGGATGGTGAAAGCTCAGAGGTGAACTCAGTGCCACTGCAGCCCTTGAGAATCTACTTGGGCTCACCTGAAGGACACGGCACTCTTTTACCTAGCCCTGATATATTGCAGTCCAGCATAATGCATTTTTTTCTTGATTCATTATTTTAATCTTCCCTTGTCCCTAACTAAGCCTTAGATTTTCTATATCTAACCTCCTCTTCCATATCATGTATATTATGAGCAATAAATTAAAATGGCACCTTGGATAGAAGTACAAATCTGTGACTAAATATTTAACAAGGGGCAGAAAGAATTTACATTTTGATCTTCAAACACTGGAAAATAAATGCCCTCAGTTGTGAGCTTTCCAAATTGGCAAGACTGCAAGGGCAAAACAAAATTTCCATGCATTTGATTGACCCCTTGAGAGGTGAGCTATTATTAGCAAGCAAGAACTTGCCAAAAACTATCTGGAAAATATCAGATGAAAAGTGATTGAAACTGGAAGTATTTTAAGCTGGTTAGCAGAGCCATGTCCAAAGGAGACAGGTGATAAAATATTGCATATGCATATATAATATTTATGCCTACATATAACACATCATATATACCTATATATTTAAAAATTCATTCTAATTCACCAAGTATTTGTTGAGTGGTTCTTGGGACACTATGCCATGCTAGGTTTTTTGAACACAAATAGTAAGATCTTTGTTCTCTTGCTTCCAGGAACTCACAAGCTACAAATGTGTGAGAGGAAACGCTATGATTCCCACAACTTAGTGCAACCTGACAACAGTTATATTAGCAACTTGAGGAAGTGCTATGGCTGCCATGCTTGATGGAGGAGAAGAAACCTAATGTTGGTGCCAGTCATCAAAGAAGCCTCCCCGGAAGAGGTGACATTTAACTGTGGGATTTCAGCAGGCACAGGAGGAGAATGTCCTTCTGGCAGAGGAAATAAAATTTACAGGTTAGGAGTATGTGGCTGGAGTGAAGGGTTTGGGGATACGCTGGGTAAAAAATAGCAGTGCTTCTGGTTTGAGTGATAAGTTCATTTACATATTCGTTTGTTTGGCAAACTTTCAGTGGGTGCTGAAGGTGGTGCTGGGTGCAGAGGCCAAGGAGACACACGTTGGCTCATGTGATTTCAAGAGAATGATGGAATGGCATTGTAAAACAAGCAGGAAAACCAGTCCTTATTTGATTCTAGAAGGATTTTTTTGTGGTGTTCCAGTGAAGCCTTTCTAGGTAATAGCTGCCATTTCATTGAGCACATCCTAAGTGCTGGTCTGAGTAGCTGTTACTGCCGACCATTACAGCAATCCTAGTTGGAAGGTATTTTCTCTATTTACGCTTAGGAAGAGAAGCTCTGGATGCCTGAGACTGTAGAGCTTATAATATATGAAAGTTGGATTTGTGCAGAGATTGATGAGAGTGGCATGGTAACCATAAAAGCTGAAGAACAGCTGAATTCAAGTACTTCCCCACCCCAGTCCCTGCCAAAAATACCATCTCAAAATGCCTTGGACCATCCTGGCCTCTCTTGCTGTGGGACAGCTCTGCAGAGTCTGTGCATGTGATTTAGTCTATCTGCTCCTCATAGAGACCAGAGCTTATTGCCTTGCTGGGCAAAGCTGCGGCAGATCCCGGCCCCACCCCATCCCCATCCCCCAAAAGCAAAGATTTCCAATTACTGCTCTGCAGAAAATGTCAAAAGCATTATTCAACTATTCATTATCCCAGGTTTTGTAATTTTTCATATGTTTTCACTCTTATCTGCTAGCACTTGAAAAAGACCAGCTTTTTCCTCTAAAGAGAGCTTAATTTGCAGAGCTGTGCAGCCTCCGTATTATGTTCTTATCATCCTCTCCCTGTGGTAGGCAGAATGACAAGGAGGACAAAAAAAGAACCAAAAATATTTGAAGGCCTGCCTGAAAATCCACGGGAATGAAGGATCCCTAAAGCCGGAGGCTTCTGTTCCTCGACTGACCCGGAACAAGGCCAAGGGCAATTGGCATTCGCTCTTACAGTCCACTGTCAGGGGCTCTTGGCTAGTTCTTACCAGGACAACCCCCCACCCCCGCACCCTCCAGGGCTACCGGGCTTTGCCTCTAAGGATTTCTCTCAGCGGCTTAAGAAGCTCTGAGGTGCCAGGAGGACCCCCCTCCTCCCCGATTCTCGAAATCCTCTTACCAGTGTTAAATTAATTTTGGTATCAAAAGGACCAGAGGCCAGGGGTGGCTTGGGGAGAATGGTTAGTCCTTCCGCCATCTCTCCACCCCATTCTTTTATAAAGCAATTGACATTTTTCTCGATGCTATGTGAAGTACTGTGCAAAGGCTACTTCAAGTCCCCTAGCTCGCTCTCTTTCACCTAGATGGCGCCCCAAGCCCCGCCATCTAGAAATTGTAGGCTGCCATCTCCCTGGATCATTTTCTCCCAGGATCCCCAGGTTTCTGAAGTCAGTGCTCCAGGACTCGGGGTTCTTTCCAAGGGATTCTGTCGGCGGTGTGCCTCGCTCGGGGGAATCCCCGCCCACCTTGTCATTCCCGCGGGGGAATCCCCGCCCCCCGTCCCTGTCACTCCGGGAAGGCAGTTCCCGCCCCTCGAGTCCACCAGAGCGGGGGGAATCCCCGCCCACCCTGGTGGAGCCCCAGCTCTGCGCAGCAGAGAAGCCGGCGAGGAGCGCACTCCCAGCAACCGAGCGTGCCGGCCCCGGCAGGCAGACGCGGAGGGGTGGCTGCTGCGGGGACCAGCCAGGCCGCGGGCGCCGGGATTGCTCCTCGGGTGCCTGCGAGAGAACCGCGGCGCTGCAGCTTCAGGCAGGCGCGGCGGCGGCAGCGGCGCGGGGACCCGCCGGGCGGCGCCTGGGTTCGGACGCGCGAGGAGCACCTGGAGCCTCCGCTGAGCCGCGCGCAGGTGAAGCGACCTTCCCCCTGCGGTCGGGACTTGGGGCTCCAGATGAGCTGGAGGTGTGGGGAGGCACCCAGAGACCGCGTGCGCCCGGGAAAGTTTAGTGGCAAATCCGGCTGCGGGAATCCCAGCCCCAGCAAGGCGGGGAGTGGGGCGCCGAACCCTGGTCCCGCGTTGGGCGGCTCAAATTCCTCTTGCATTGGCCGGGGCCGGAGAATGCAGCTGCGGGAAGAGGGCCAGAGGAGGGCGGGCCGGGCACACCAGGACAACCCGAGACGCACTGCTGGGCACACTCAGGCAAGGCCAGGATCCCCTGTCCTGGCGTGCGCCCTGGGTCCCCAGCCCTGGGGTATCGTTTGTAATCCCCTCCAGGGCGGAGATAACCCAGGCTTTCAGGCCTCAGGTACTGCCTTGGGGTCCATCCTCCCGCCGTTCCTCATCTCTCGCCCCCTGCCTGACCCTGGAAGAGGCGCGGGGGGGCGAGGGTGTGGAAGGGACGCGCAAAGAGCAAGGGCATTTCTGGGGACATCTACCAGGAAGATGGGGGACATACCGATGGGGAATTCCTGCTCTCTCTCTGAAGTGGAGTCCCTTCTAAAACCTGGCCTCCATTCCCCCTCGCCTCGGGGTTGCGTCCACGTTTTAGACCTTTAGTTTGCTTGTTGCCCTGCAGTGCTGAATTGAGTAGGGAGAGGATCTGGGGACCCTGGCTGGAGTTTGCGAGAAGCCTGTCCTCAGCAGCCCTGATCCATGCTGAGACCTTGATAAGGGCCACTGGAGTGTGAAGAGGACAAGGTCTGGCACAGGCTGTTCACAGACTGGAATGGTAGGCACGAGGGCATTCCAGAGTTGCAGCCCTGTGCGGGACCTGGAGGTGCTGGAGTTTTGGGGTAAGCAGCTCCATCTGTCTGACAGCCTAACCGGCCTCTTGCTTTCCACAGAGTAGGGTGCTTTGGGTATATGTGCTTCCCTTGAGAAGCTCTGAAGGTGGGCGCTGAGTGGTGCAGAAAGTGGTACTCTGGATCTGCTTTACAGACAGCTACCCTGCACCTTCAGAGCTGCTGGCCCTTTTCTAAGGGGGATCTGCCACACTCAGCCTATTCTGAACTTGGGCTCTAGGGGCCTGGTAATTCTACAGGGCCAGCTTTTCTAGTCTGTGACTTCTAGCTGGGGGTCAAGTAGGTACAGGTTGGCAAGTGTGGTGTGGGAGTTGCCTGTGGGGCAGACTAGAATGTCTCAGAACACACCCCTGGCTGTAGGGGGGTTGTTCCAGCTTAACCAACTCCTTCCATTGTGGTGGGCCAAGAGCTGCTATTCCACTAATAACCACATAGTGGTGTGAGTGTGTGTGTGTGGTTGGGTGGAATGTAGGAGTAGGGAGGTATGCTGGGAGGGGAAGTAGCAGAACCATACACCATGTAAAGCACATAAATGCACCTCCCTTGACATAGTTAATATGCCCGGGAAAAATATTGGGTTACACTTTACATCTCTCTCATTGAAACTGATTTTGCATGCACTTAAGGCAGTTTACTATTTAAGGAAACTTACGATAATTTCTCTATTCATTTCAACCTCCTTATTTTTGGAGTACCTGTGGTTTGTTCTGCACAGGGGCTTGGAGGTTCCTGGGGGTGAGCAAAGATGAAAGAGGCACCCTCCTAGAAGATAAGTTTACTGAAAGCTCCAATCCAAACCAGTGCACATGTGGCATTTAATGGTACCCTTATATCTGGATTAAGTAGTGAAAGGATGATCTAATGAATAAAATGACTAAAGAGTAGTCCAGATAAAACACTTCAGGGAGTACACAGGAGAAAGAAGTCACTTTTGACTGAGGAGACCTGAAAGGCTTTGTGGAAGAGAAGCTAGGTAGAAATGGTGCGTGCTGAGAAGTTGATCCTGAGTTAGGGTGTGGCCCCCGGGGATGTGATGGACGGAGAGAGGAGGCAGAGCTAAGGACTTGGAGGAATTTAGGCCTGCAGCTGATAAGGAAATATTTGGGAATTTTGAGCAAGGCATTGTCATGTTCAGCTGTGTGCTTCTGGGAGATGAGTCTGATCTCTTCCAGAAAGAGTTGGGGTTG